TGCAGTGACCATATCTCCGTCGTTGTAGATTCACTGACGTAAATGCTTCGATAGCGGCCACGTGTTGTGCTGAGGAAATGCTGCTGAGGTAAAACAATGAAACTTTGAGGTATTTAGTGAGAGAGGCAAAGCGGACACAGGGCGTTCAGCTGAAAACCGACGATGAACATAAAACCATAATAAAGGTTAATAGCGGGATTCTAAGCATGAATACTTATCAGCAGGGATTATGTCGGCGGCCAGAACTGTCAACTAAAAAGTTTCGCGCGACAGCTGTAGTTTGCTAAATGCGGAAGACGCAAACAGTCCACGTAGGATCCCACGGGACACTATCAAGTATCAACACGTGCAAAGTTCAGAATACCCAGACATCAATGACTACCCATGACGTTGACGTAAACAGAGAAGGGGGGACATAAAAGTCAAGACGAGTGAAGTGAAAACATTTATTGCAAATACAGAGGCAATCGCTCCTTACTGGAGGCAGTGACACCGCTCCTCAGGATCCATTTAGAGGGTTAAGCTACAAATGCATATGTTTGGCCAATTATTTGGAATTTACTAGATCTAAGCCAGGTCATTCAAATGGCGAAGTGACGGATTGCCCATTTATTTTCCAATAAAACACATTCCAGGCTTTTCGTTCGTTTTATGCACGAATCGTTCTCCTCCGTTCAGAGGGTATATGGCATAATTAAGCAATTTCGTTGTCGAGTGAACATAAACCAATATAAGCGGTTTCTCACAATCGTTCTTCGAATTTTTCTAAAAGCAACGCCTTATTTGGCACAAGCAAATTGAATCAGCTCTAATCACCAGTGCCTCATCAATTTACTTAACTCATTGCATGATTGTTCAAAATAATCACGGTGACTATGGCATGTCAAGCTTCTTCATGTTGTCTGACGAACCCATTACTTCAATCGTTGCCAGCGACAGAGAAATTGAGGTTCGACCATTGGAAGTGCTCGTCATAAACACAAATACATATTTTATTTTCCATATGAATCGATAACCGACCTTTGATTGAAAGGACAAGAATGCATTTCAAACAGTTAGCCCGTACATTTCAGCACAAACACAAACTGTTCAAAAGCTACTTCCAAATTTTCTTAATGAACGATTTACAATGACTCTACAGTAATTTCCTTGTGTGGCGACAAAGATGCTCCGAGTACTGGGCTGTTCCTTTCAATACACTAATAATCAATTCGTAAAATTTTGTTTTTCGGAGAACGAAGAATTTCCAGTGTTGTCTGTTCAGGAAAAAGAAGTTTAAGTTTCTTCGGCTATGCCCCTTGGGCTACCACACTGGATAGCTAGCTCTCAGGCAGGTCAAAGCAAAGTACAGCCACAGAGACGGGAGATTGCATTGGTCAGCAGACACATCTCGCCAGTTCTGGAATGACCATACCACATGCCTAGCCGTCGTTGTCACATCCAGATCAACAACGTGCCGTCCGCTTTTCCGCCAATAGCCTCGAAGCGCTGGACAAACTTCTTGACCACAGCAATTCACGGTTAAGACAAGATGGTTTTCTCCGGAATAGAACGGGAACCTTGGGTATTCGAAACCAACCTCCTTGCCAATTTGCGACCACACTGAGTTTCGACTGTTCATCCACGCATTCATTCAGAAATTTATTCATTCACTAGTGTTTTACTCATTAATTCATTTTTAAACTCTGTGATCTTTGCGGCTTGTTAGGACATTAGCCTTACGAGGTTTTTTCGGTGGTCTCGCTCAAGAACTTTTGTAAACTGGATTTCGTTTCTGTACGCATTCAATTTCTTCGCCCGCCTTGACTGTATGCAATGTGTGTTTTCGAGAAGACTTTATCTTGGGAATATTTGCTCAATTATATTGATGACCTTTACGCGTCTCTACATGGTCCGGAATAGTGACATCCGGAAGAGCCTTGGATTACAGCCTTTGCTTCTCCAGATTGAGAAGTC